CTAGCTCATTCTTTATGCATTAAACATTTTCATAATGCAGCTCGCCATGTACAGCCCACACTATGCCAGTGTAACAGCCTTTTCAGAATGAGGTCTAACATTCTCGGTGTTAGGGACCGGGCTGGGACTAGGGTGAAGCAAGAGAAGCTCCCAGGGTGCAGAATTTACAGAGATGCTCACTCACAGGTGCCGGCTTATGAGCTCTTTAGGGTTAGTGCCATTCTAAATTTTATGCCCTGGGTGCTGCTGTAGCTTCATGCTAGCTCTGGCCCAGTCAGGATTCCTTAATAGTATTTTAAACACATTACTGGGCCAGCAGGTGGCTAGAGCCCACATGGCTTAGTCCATGGTTCAAGTCCTGGACCCAGCAGCTTGAAAAACACACTGGGCATATGTGTGTGCATGCCCAAAGTGCCAAGAGGAGAATGGAAGAGAAGAGATTGCAGCATGGCCATCCCCCCTTGGGGTAGTGCTTTATCACTTTTCTCTCTCTTTCTCTCTGAGTGTCTCTTCTGGGCACACATGCCCTATGACAAAAGTCTAAAAAATCTGACAAAAATAAGCAAATAAGAACACATTGCTGGGTCAGCTCCTCAGCTTCCGGACTTTCTGGAGGTAGGGCCCAGGAATTTGGGTCTGTAACCTGTTCCCTTCGTGAGTCCAAGGCACATTGAAAGTCTGGAACCTGGAGAATTGCAGAGAGTTATGTATCTTTAAAAGCAAAATGTAAATTTAATGCATGGTGCATTGAGGCACTTACAAAATGCAGATGAGCCCAGATTTTCATTTTTAGGAATCAGTTTTCTACCTAGCTCATTCTTTATGCATTAAACATTTTCATAATGCAGCTCGCCATGTACAGCCCACACTATGCCAGTGTAACAGCCTTTTCAGAATGAGGTCTAACATTCTCGGTGTTAGGGACCGGGCTGGGACTAGGGTGAAGCAAGAGAAGCTCCCAGGGTGCAGAATTTACAGAGATGCTCACTCACAGGTGCCGGCTTATGAGCTCTTTAGGGTTAGTGCCATTCTAAATTTTATGCCCTGGGTGCTGCTGTAGCTTCATGCTAGCTCTGGCCCAGTCAGGATTCCTTAATAGTATTTTAAACACATTACTGGGCCAGCAGGTGGCTAGAGCCCACATGGCTTAGTCCATGGTTCAAGTCCTGGACCCAGCAGCTTGAAAAACACACTGGGCATATGTGTGTGCATGCCCAAAGTGCCAAGAGGAGAATGGAAGAGAAGAGATTGCAGCATGGCCATCCCCCCTTGGGGTAGTGCTTTATCACTTTTCTCTCTCTTTCTCTCTGAGTGTCTCTTCTGGGCACACATGCCCTATGACAAAAGTCTAAAAAATCTGACAAAAATAAGCAAATAAGAACACATTGCTGGGTCAGCTCCTCAGCTTCCGGACTTTCTGGAGGTAGGGCCCAGGAATTTGGGTCTGTAACCTGTTCCCTTCGTGAGTCCAAGGCACATTGAAAGTCTGGGATTATCTGAGCTCGCTTGGCCGATCTACAGCCCAACAGGACAAAGGCTGCTTGATTGGCCTTGGGTTATGACCCACCTGTGATAGTAGCTTTAAAAAACTGCCTAATTAGCCGGCATGCAGGGACAAGTAGGCCAGCCGGACCGCACATGGCCAGCCATAGCCGTTGTGTAACTGCTACCAGGTGTCACGCTAGAAGGCTTGGCTCTCAGAGCACTTGTAACCAAAGCTGAATGTAATTGATGATGTAATTTTGAGCTGTTCCAACTTTTTAATTAAAAAATATTTTCATTGTGAAATATAAGAAAATAAGTCAAAAGAAGTATATAAACACTGTCTATAATCTTACTACCCAGAGATAACCATTGTTAACATCTTAACGTATCCTTTCAGCCTTTTTTTTTTTCTATTGAGTTAATATTTAATTCCACTAAAAATGTGTCATGTGGCATTAGGAAGGATAAGTGACAAGGAATGTAGTTATGACCCAACTAAGGTGACACAAGTGGAATAATACCACTGCACGGTGGTGGAGGCCACAAGGGAAGCCTGGGTTCAGTTCCCATCCCAGACTTCCCAGGTTCCCAGGCCCAGTGGTATGTTCTTGTCATCCGAGCTAACTAGAAGGTTGAGGCAGGAAGATCACAGCATAGCAAGAGACCCTGTCAATAGCTATAATATTTTATTCTCATTTAAAATAAATTTTTAAAAAGGAATATAGACATGGGTTATGTTACAAACTTGATTCCCATCTGAGTCCTATCTCAGGACTGCTATCTATGTGTCAACCCTTCCCACTCATCATTTAGCTGGGTGTTAAAAGAAAAACTTCACTTGGCCAAGCGTACGTGTGGATTTCTTATCTTATGGCCTTATATTGCAAGAGTAGTGGGAATAGTGCCGCTACCCAGGAAAATCACCACTAGGCTGTTCTCTCAGGTACCTTCCTATGACAAATGGCTTTGGAACCTCAGAGACTCGTTCCTCCTCTGTATGTGCTGTGTGTGGGTCGGTGTTGCCAGGACTCAGCGGCCAGTGAGAGGTGGTTTCAGCCCTTGGAAATATAGAGTCTGATGGAGGAGGCAGACAGATCTTGCATAATAGCATCAGGAGCTCTTAAGTGCTTTGGGAACAGAGAAAGCAACCAATCATCTTGACTTCGAAGACTTAGGGGTTGCTTAGCAAAGGAGGTGACACTTACGCCGAGTCCAGAGAGCTCTCTGCATGATGCCTGCAGTCTCTGGTAGATAGCACTCTCCTCAGGGTCCGGTTTTTGTGTGTGTGTTATGTCCTACTTTTCAGCCCGATCACACAGTTGCCCATGATAATTAAATGAAACTTGCCAGATGGATGCTTTCGCGAGATGATGGCTCGTCTTCTTGCTCTATTTGTGAAAGCTGGCATGTGATCCAAACTCTCAAGGATGCCCCTACCTTGAGATGGCTTTGGAGAGTCACTCTTTTGTGTGTATTAGCCAAGTGGCCTGCCCATCCGCAGGGCCAGCTTGAGTGACAGGTGGGTGTGTCATGCATGTGGACACGCTGATCCCTGCCAAGTCCTTTTGCCTTCAAGGAGGTAAGGTGCTGAGAGGTTGTTCTGCAGAGATTCCATTTATCAGTGTTCCCTTCCTGTGGGGAAATAAACTGCCACGCTTCTGATCTGTCAGTCTTTCCACATCTATTTTTCCTGTTAGTTGCGGTATAATTGTTGTTGAATTCCCAATGCATTGGATTAAAATACACACGTTATCAGACAACTTTAAAGAAGCAGTTTTGAGGGACTGGCAGGTGACGCATTGGTTAAAGGCTCTGGACTCCTACATGGCTAACCATGGTTTGAATCCTAGACCTGGCAGCTTGTTTCCTCACTTTCTCTCTCTTACTCTGTCACTTGCTTTGTCCCTCTCTGGTCAAATTAAAAAATAAGTACATAAACAAATAAAAGTTAAATAAAAGAATTCTTTAAAAAAAGAAAAAGAAGCACCTTTGAGATCATGGAAGAGAATAGAAAGGCCATTGTAGTTTGCTCAGTGTGTAGCGAACCTGATTGACCAAGGAGCATGAGCCACACTGTGGAGCAGACCCACAGGGTGAGGTTGCCAGTTTGCATCCAGAGACCTCCAAGTGCGAGGCACCTATGCACCCATGATCTGGGGCTAGCTGAAGACTAGGTGTGGACTGCAGCCTTCAGACCCCATTGAGACTTTTATATCTCTTGTCTCTTTGTCTCTGTGTCACTCTCACTCATGGAAGAAATAAACTTGAAAAGAGTAACTGAATCAGCAATAATAATAATGTTTCATTTCTGTACATCGTTCTCAGCTCTGTGTATGAGATGGGTATCGTTGGTATTCCTGTTTTATACATGATGAAACTCAGAGACTCGGAAGTGAGGTCAAGTGCAGAGAGCTGATAAGCGCAGGAGCTGACGTTCAATCTGCCCACGGTACACGAGGGCTCCTGCAGTTCTGTGATGGAAGTCAAGCACCCCGCCATCCCTGACCCGGGGCACTCATGGTGTCACCTACTCACTTCCAAAGAGTCAGAACCCTTCAGCCATATCGGCATTAGAACACTGAACACGAGTGTGATTTCCTTTCACTTTCGAGTTTTAAGACTTTGAAATTCCTGAAAATCAGTTGATTGTTACAGTTACACAGAAATGTCCGATTACAGCATCCCTGCCACACACTTTACTTTTTCAGTGATTTTTATTCAGGTTTCTACCTATGAATAAATAAAATAAATAACAAACAAAATCCTCGGGCTGTTTTCCTTTTCTGTTAGGGAGTTAGAAAAGTCATGACATATTTTTCTCTGACAAAATGTGGCATGACTTTCCCGATGACTCAATAATTTCCGATTCATATTTTACATTTGAAACAAAGATCTGGAGCTAAACGCCCATATCGTTTTTACCTGTATGGTTTAGCTTCTCTATAAATAGGGCGATTCAGCTCTTTATCAATAAACACCACTCCTTCCACCCTCTAAGAAGAGGACTATGTGAGAGAGTGGGGCTTTTCTTTCCCTGTAACAACTCTTAATTCCGTCCAGTCTGGTTTCTGCAGAAACATTCCTGTGGCAGGTACAGGACCTGAAATCCCATTGCCAGGAATCCTTCCCGTAGGATTTCCATCTGTAGGAGAGCCTGCTACTCGAGGTCTTGATTAGAAGTCTTTCCGACTCCCTCCCACTAGAGGCAGAAACCCTTGCCAGGTGTCCCTCCCTGCAAGCCCGGCATCAGCCACCCTAGGAACATAGTTCTTGGAGGCCTCCACCTCTGCAGGGTGGTTCTGGGCAGCTGCGGCTGTGGAAGCCCTTCTCGGTGGGCCCCGGCCTGCCCCCTCCCTGCCCCTTCCACTCACTGGTTCAGATTCTCTCCTTTGAACAACACATTCCCCAGGCTCCTCGGCAGCCCTGCGGAGGTTCTAAAGATTAGCAAGAGAGTAGAGCAAATCTCGCCGAGGCTTTCAGCAGTCTGACATATGGCTGCTTCTCTCTTCCTACAGCAAAACCAGAAATCCTGACTTACAACAGGCTCGTGAATGGCAGACTCCAGTGTGTGGCGGCCGGATTCCCAGAGCCCACAATAGATTGGTATTTTTGTCCAGGAACCGAGCAGAGGTGAGATGATTATTTTTGGCACTGCTTAAAATGCAGAAGGGAAGGACTGCAGTTCCACTGAATTTCCAGTGTTTTCAGAATTTTTTTTTTTTTTAAAGAAAAGCGTTTTGATTATTATTTTTTTTCCCTATCTGTGTGGCGTTTTAAAGGGGGATAATTGCCATATTTTTCTTGGTAGACATTAATTTTGTTTGCTAAAAATGATTACTGAATATGACTTCTCTATTTTGGTAGTTATCTTTTTGGATTTATCATGCAATTTCTAGCCTGCAGGTAGATAAAGCAATTTTCCAGGACACAGTAATTAGATTTCCATTCTATACACAGGAGGTAATATGTGGGGGGAATGTGACTGTAGTTATCATGAAAAAATTACCTCCGAAGTTAATTGCCAACTTACCAAAAAGTAATGATCGTGCAATTACAACATACATACGGCGATGGTAAGTGACGGGTTTTAAAAAGGTTTTCTCCTTGATTAGGTGCCCAGCCCCAGAACAGAGAACATCTGGCATTGTGCTGCTTCTCCCTCACGATCCATACTTAGCCTTAAATTGTCCTCCCATATTACCTGAAGACGAAAATGGGGTCAACGCTGCTGTGTTGATCCATCAACTGCTTTTTCATGCTCAGGCTTTCAAAGCCCCGTTTAACATCACAATCGAATAGTCAGGATGAGAGTGAAAATTGTATTGTTCCTAAGATAGACCTCCTTATCACAATAAGTTGGAAGAGGTTACCTAGGCTGGTTGGTTTCAGCTGCATTTTAGTAGAAGGTTTTCTTTGGGGGAATAAGAAGGAGGGTTCAAGGCCTCTGGAAAATTAATGCCATCGTGGAAACAATCCTAGTCGTTAGTCAGGAATTCAGCAGATATTGATGGAGAGCAGACTGTGCCAGGGACCGTGGAATAAATGAAACACACAAGAGGCTCTGCCTGATGGGTTTGTCTTGTAGTAGGCAGAGACGGACAGTAGACAAAAGAAACAATAGCATGTAGGTGTGAGGAAGGGGACAGGAAAGGGCAGGCATTTAAAGGTAGCCAGGGTCTGGCTCCTGAAAAGAAGCTGAAGCCGGTGGTAGTAGTCTCTACTACCTGCAGTACCCCTGGGCCATGTGACTTGGTACCTCCCTAAGTATTAGAAACTCCAAGCTCCGCATCCTCAATACCACCCTTGGGAGGGTTTCCCCATCCTCGTCCTTACAGACTTTTCATGATTTCTTGCTTCATGTTGTTTTTCAACCACTCACCTTTTCAAGATTTGCTTTTGTTTAAACAGATCTACAGCGTGCCAGCCGTTTTGTTTCATCAGTTTCTAATCCTTCTCCAATAGGGGTATCCCCATCTCAGTTTTAGAGCAGTAGAAACTGAACCTGGGAGAGTGTAGACAACTTGTCAGAAGTCAATCCAATAGATGTTGGAGTCAGGATTCAAACCCGCATCCAACTCCAAAAGCCCCATCTCCATCTTTCTTCTCGTTTATGGTGCTTTTCCTTATTTCCATGCCATGAAAGTGCCCGTTCCTCCCCAGAGAGTGACCATCGTGAAAGGAGATCCTTATGGATCACGAACCTCCAGCTTCGTGTTAGAAGTATCCAGAGTGAATCGTTTGTTGATTTTCCTAGAACAAGCCTGGCATGTCGTCTCCTTCCCCCTAGGTGCTCCGTTCCTGTCCTGCCAGTGGATGTGCGGACACAAAACGCTTCTCTGCCACCGTTTGGAAAACTGGTGGTGCAGAGCGCCATAGACTCTAGTGTGTTCAAGATCAATGGCACGGTTGAGTGTAAGGCTTACAACGATGTGGGCAAGAGTTCTGCCTACTTTAACTTTGCATTTAAAGGTAACAACAAAGGTATATTTCTTTTTAATCCAATTTAAGGGGGTGTTTAGGCTCTGTCTGCCATTTCCATCATGATTTTAACTCCATTCCAACACTGGCCATGTCATTCCTGGTAATAGTGGCATTGCATCACAAACTCACTAAGTCTCATTCCATATTAGTTTGTTGGTAAAGTCTCTGCTCTTATCAAGTACTTTTGAACATGCTACTTTTTATATTTTGTGTGTGTGCGCGCACGTGTGCCTGTGTGCTCTCAAGTGTCTATACACACACACACACGAGGGGTCTTCAGAACCTTTGTGGGAAATGGAGTTGAAGTATGAGTTTATTTTGGTACCAAAAAAAATTGAAATACAGGATAGATTTTTCATATTACACATTTTCCAGGAACTTTTTGAATACCTCGTGTGCGTGTGCCCGTGTGTGTGTGTAATTACATGTGTAAAACTGTACATTTCAATTGTATATTTACAGTTGTGCCCAGTTGTATTTGCACTTAGTCACCATTAAAAAGGGGTAGAGAAAACAAATAGAGAAATATATTTGCCTGAGAATTAGAACAATTTAAAATTTAAGTTATTTAAAATGAATTATTTTAACACTGAAGCAGACATTATAATAAAAATTTAGCAGTCTTTTATGAAGGCATGTCAACAAGCTATTTCTTAAAAAAATAAATCTTAAAATTTGATTTATATATGATTCACTTTCCTAACATAAGTTAAATTATCCTTGAGGACAAATTGATAAATTGGTATAAAGTTACAAAACCAAGAAACTGGGCACCTAAGTTTTTAGGGCTTGGTTTTTGTCTATTTGAATTGGCTAAAACTAGTGCCAAAAAGTGTTGTTTTCTCAGTTTTTGAGTAATGGGAAGAATCGTACATTGTTCTACATTGATTTTTTTAGACAGAGCAATGAAAAAGAACAGTTTAAAAATGGGTTTCTTGGTTGTGAGAGACATTTATGCTCAATGTAAAAAAAAAATTAGAAAAATACAAGGAAACAATAAAGAAGAAAAAAATATTAGCTATCCATAAAGGAAACTTCTCTTTAAAGTTATCCAACGCAGGAATTGGATTGAAGTACAAAGTTCATTCCAAGGTTGCTTTCCCTTGAAAAACATCAACTTATTTTTGTGCTCCATAAATCTCAGTTTCCCGTCCCCAGTAATGAGGTTTAAAATAACGTTTTGGGGAACCAGCAGTTAGCGTAATGGCTATGTCGCTGGATTCCCACGTAGTCGACCGTGGTTCGCGTCCCGGACCCGGTAGCTTAAAACTCACGCTGGGCGCGTGTGCGTGCGTGCCCAAGATCCCGAGAGGAGAATGGAGGAGAAGGGATTGCGGCGTGACCATCCCCTCTGGGGGGTGATTTCTCCCTTTCTGTCTGTCTCTCTCTGTCTGGCGAGCGCACGCGCCCTATAGCCAAAAGCTCTCAAAAAAAAAAAAAAAAAAAAAAGACGGAAAATAACGTTTTGAAGCTTCATTTGAACAGCAGGAGTAAGATGTACCTGAGGCAAGGGTCCGAGTCTCATGCAGCTTTGTGCTCTGTGGTGGGCGGGACTCGGGAAGTGGGTGGGTCTAGGGGTGGAGCTTTAGGCAAAGATCCTATCCTGCTAAGAGTCAGGGGTTCTACTTTTCTCTTTCGTTTTAGAAAAAATCCACCCCCACACCCTGTTCACCCCTTTGCTGATCGGCTTCGTGATCGCGGCGGGTCTGATGTGCATCATTGTGATGGTCCTCACCTACAAATATTTGCAGGTAACTCTCGACCTGGCCCTCGCCCCCATCCGTAATGACTGCCACGAATCATGAAAAGATGATGTGTATCTCCCTTTCTCCCCCCAGAAACCCATGTATGAAGTGCAGTGGAAGGTTGTGGAGGAGATCAATGGGAACAATTACGTTTACATAGACCCAACACAACTTCCTTACGATCATAAATGGGAGTTTCCCAGAAACAGGCTGAGTTTTGGTCAGTATGAACCAGGGGCTTTCCATGTAACCTTTCCGTGCACCCATAACAATGAGTTTAGGGAACCCCAGTGGCTTCCTTTGTTTCATTCCACCTGAAACAATAGTGTTTTTTATGAAATGTCACCACCTTGGGTAGGTTTGGCATAGGCCACATTTCAGGGAAACGGCTCTAGACAGTTTGCCTCAGTGCTTTTTCTTGACTTTGAAATGACACTGACAGTCCTTTGCCCCACGAGCACCCTCACTGCTCACCTGTTGTCTTCCTTTCCAAAGGGAAGACCTTGGGTGCTGGTGCCTTCGGGAAAGTTGTTGAGGCAACTGCATATGGATTAATTAAGTCGGACGCAGCCATGACGGTTGCTGTGAAGATGCTCAAACGTAAGTTCCTGCAGGAAACTGCATGCATTTGACCTCAGTTTGCCACATTTGTGTTTCACTAAAATGAGATGGTTTTCATTTTAGCAAGTGCCCATTTAACGGAACGAGAAGCTCTAATGTCTGAACTCAAAGTCCTGAGTTACCTTGGGAATCATATGAATATCGTGAATCTTCTCGGTGCATGCACCGTTGGAGGTAAGACCGGGTCCAAATGGCCTTTTATGATCTGAGAAATTATGAAAAGGACAACATCTTTTTACAGAGTCATTTTATTGAAACTTATTCATTGTTTTATTTATTTATTTTGATTTAGCAGAGGTGGGAGGGATCAAGCCTCCAGGTCCAGGACTTGAACCTCAGTCAGCCATGTGGGAGTCCAATACGTTAACCACCACGCTACCTGTAGGCCCCAAAGAGCAACATTTTAATAGATTTTGACGATGCTTGATTATACATGGATTGCAAGATTTTTACCTAGATCTTACGCCATCTTGCGAGGTTTTGTTTCCCTAATTGTTCTTAAGAATGCAGATTTTGGGAACCAGCAGTTAGCGTAATGGCTATGTTGCTGGACTCCCATGTAGTCGACCGCGGTTCGCGTCCTGGACCCGGTGACTTAAAACTCACACCAGGCACATGTGCGTGCGTGCCCAAGATCCCAAGAGGAGAATGGAGGAGAAGGGATTGCGCCGTGACCATCCCCCCGGGGGGTGATTTCTCGCTTTCTGTCTCTATGTCTCTCTCTGTCTGTCTGGCGAGCACACGCGCCCTATAGCGAAAACCCTTCCAATAAAAAAAAAAAAGAATGCAGGTTTTGGGACCAGCACAGGATGAGGTGGTTAGAGTTCTAGATTCCCATACGGCCAACTGCTGATTGAACCTGGTCCTGACGGCTTGAAAATAATACCAGGCATGTGCGCAAGCCCAAAATTCCAGGAGGAGAATGGAGAAGGGATTGTGGTGTGGCAATCTCCCCTGGTGGGTGATTTCTCACTTTTCCTCTCTCTCTAGAAAGCACACATGCTCTGTGGCAAAAACCTTAAAAAAAAAAAAAAAGAGAAAAAGGCAGGTTTTAGTTCAATATTATGAGACCTTTGCTAGTTACTACCATGTGTCAGCAACATTGACCTCTTGAATAGCTCATCTCGACTTGAAGACTTTCCTTGTCTTGCACACTTTACATGTTGCTGAGTCACACTTAGTCCCTAAAGGGTTGCTAGTAGTTTGCACACAGCATAATTAAACATAGGCCCCTAAGCCTACCAGTGCTCACATACATACCAATGAGGCAAACATGGCACATCTATAAAAATAACTTCTCCATTCCGAAGCTTTGGTTGAAGTTCCCATCCAGGATGTCTGCAGAAAGCATTTGGGGTTAAAGGGACAAACATGCGTAGAATGAACTGTTCCTCGAGATCTGGAGCCATCCACGAAAGCTGACAGCTCTGTACAGTGTCTTAAAACAATCCCCATAAACGTTGCTTTGCCACATCATGAATTGTTCATGAGTAAACTTCCACCCAGGTTAATTAGTTCCCTTTTGCTGCCGTTTTAAGCATCCATAACACCCACACCATTTTTGGCCGGTAGTGCCCAGAACACAGGTCATTTCAGGTTTTCTCGCCATTGCAGCCTGGTCTCAGCTGGCTGTTCCATATGGTTGGTTTTCCTACGACGCTGCCGTGTGTTCCCTTCATCGCTGCCATAATAGCGTTACAGAGAGTGCGTGCAGCCCTGCCGTAAACAGAAGTGAATCAAAGGATTCACGTAGGAAACTTGATAATAGAACCTTTGGAAGCACTGACTTCTGTCTGTAGAACCAGCAGTCACACCTGGCTCCAAACCCTGACGTCTCTTAGAAGTTCAGGTGAAACAGGCTGGCTTGTTTTATTTTACCCCCATAATGCTGTGTTTTTGATAAGTGATGTTAATCGATAGCATTGTGTTGAGACTACATAGGTTTATCCATTGAAACTGGATGTTAATGGCCATGCTTACCCTAGGGCATTTTTATAAGAGAAGGGATTATCTACTAGGTTGTCGGAAAAGTCATGATGTCATTTTTTTGTCTTTCTGTGCCAACATGTGTCCCGACTTTACTGACAACTCGATATAGGTCTCACCTCTTTCTAACCTTTTCTTCTATGCCTGTAGGGCCCACCCTGGTCATAACCGAATACTGTTGCTATGGTGATCTTTTGAATTTTTTGAGAAGAAAACGTGATTCATTTATTTACTCAAAGCAGGAAGATCACGCAGAAGCAGCACTTTATAAGAACCTTCTGCAGTCAAAGGAGTCTTCCTGGTAAGACTTATTTACATAAATAGTCAGCAGGTTGACAGGCAGTTCATGGGGTCATAAGGGTTTGCAATCAAGGCTGATTCTTTGAAAAAATGAACTGAGGTACTCTGAGGCGCGAAATCAAAATTATTAAATCATTTCGATGTGATTAACAGTTTAGAAAGTTCAAATAGTGTTCTTAAAGATTCAGCTTGTGTTAAACTTAGATTTCCACTGATTTTTTTTTTAAAGCACCTTTAGCTTTTTCCCTAAGCTGTAGTGACGTGCAAGCTATGAATTCTACATGCGTTTCTCTCACCGTGGTTCCGTTCTTGTATGCATTTCCACTCATACTTTAAGCTGGATGCTGTGGGTGTCCTTACAGTGAGGCACACTGATGGGAGGAACACTCGAGCCTGTCGATTCGTGACAGTCAAGTCCTTTAAAACCTTCAGCAGAATGGTAGAGAGCTCGGAGCATCTCTCTGCGTGTAGGCTTCTTGCCCTCTACCTCTGAATTATTTCCGTATTCCTCCCCTCAATATTTTAAAGAATCCATCAAGCTATAAAAGGCATTAGCTCCTCTAACACATTTTAAAAAAAAATCTAGAACTTCTTCTTCTCTCTTTCATCATTGATACTGTTCTGAATTTGAACAATGTAAGAACTTCAAGTTCCTTTCAAAAGAATTAGCTTGGTTTACGGGATCAGTAAGTGGCGTGGTGGTTAAGGTGCTAGACTCCCACATGGCCAACTGCAGTTTGAGTCCTCGACCCCGTAGCTTGAAACTCATGCTGGATGCATGTGCATGCATGTCCAGAATCCCAGGAGGAAGATGGAGGAGTAAGGATTGCAGCATGGCCCTCTCCTGTCGAGGGGGTGATTTCTCTCAATTTCTCTGTCTCTCTCTGTCTCTCTCCTCTCTGGCAAGCACATGCACCCTATAACAAAAACCTTTAAAAGAATAAGCTTGGTTTATATCCAGAATAGAATTCTTCTCTGCCATACCTTGCCCTTTTGTCCCCTGAAATACTGTACAGATCTACCACTTAAGAAGACCTCCTAGAGGGACCAGCCTTTGGCAGGATGGCTAAGTCACTGGACTCCCATGTAGTCGACTGGTTCGAGTCCCAGATCCAGTGGCTTAAACTCACACCAGGCGCGTGTGTGTGCGTGCCCAAGATCCTGAGAGGAGAATGGAGGAGAAGGGATTGTGGTGTGGCTATCGCCCCTGGGGGGTGATTTCTTGCTTTCTGTCTCTGTCTTTCTCTGTCTTTCTGGTGAGCACACACGTCCTATAGCAAAAATCTCTCTCAAAATAAAAAAGAAGACCTCCTAGATTCCCCCAGCCCGATAGAGACTCTAGTTCCCTTGCCTACCCTCTGTATTTTCTGGTGCTACAGTTCTGATGGACCTCTCCTGTGTATTCTTCTCCATTATGAGATGGCAAGACTTTGTGTAAGATCTCTTTTTTTTTTTTGGAGAGGTTTTTACTATAGGGCATGTGCGCTTGCCAGGAAGACAGAGAGAAAGAGACCGAAAGTGAGAAATCACCCCCAGGGGGTATGGCCACACCACAATCCCTTCTCCTCCATTCTCCTTTCGGGCATGCACGCACACACGCTTGGCGTGAGTTTAAGCCACCGGGTACGGGACTTGAACTGCGATCAACTATGTGGGAGTCCAGCGATGTAGCCATTACACCAACTGCTGGTCCCTGTGTAAGATCTCTTAACAGCGGGCCCCAGGGAGGCCTCCATAAATATTACTGATGGGTAATTACCTGTTAAAGCCATTTTCTCTATCTCTGGCCAAAGTTTAAATCCCGAGGTGAAGCTTTTTATTTATTTATTTATTTGATCCTATAAACTTGAGTAGTTTAAACAGGTAGTGTAAAAAACTGTGCAAGCGGTCTTCATTTCTCCTGAGGACGTGTTCTCTGTTAGAAGTGAGCCCCTCTGCCTTATTTCTGAAAGCTCGGCCCAGTAGCTATTTTCCAGCTTTCTGAAACGGTGGCCTGAACGGTTCAGCCCTGTGTGGCGTTCTTTGTGCTTTGGGATCCCATATGGGATTGGAACCTTCGCATGCTCTGAAGGAGATTGTTGTCATGGTGTTTCTATGCTAATCAGAAGCAGGAAGTACTAGAAATCTTGAAGAGTCTCCAGCCAAATGTTGCAGATTCAAGAGGTCCAGATGGTTCAGAAAATCATCCAAATTATTGGTGTTTATCTGAACCAAACTTGGTTTTTTTAAACCTTTTCCATCAGTCGCTATATGTTAATGATCTCTGCCTTCCCCGTAACACATCTCAGAAGCCCTTGTTCTTCATCTGTCTTTCATCTTGTCTCTTGGGGCTAATTTAGAGTTTGGAGTAATGTGGGATAATGCGTGAGGCTCTTTGTCTCTCATCAAACTTACCATGTCAAAGGCAGGACATTTCCAACCTGAGTACTCACCATGAGAAAATAGGAAAAAAAAAAAAAAGGGACTGCTCATTTCTGGGAATTGGACCCTAATATTGAAAGTTAAAAATTCCTGTTTTATACGATTTTCAAACTCTTCATTCAAACTTTGCAAATAAAATCAGCTCATTGTATAACAAAGGGGTGAGGAGATTCAGCCTGGTGCATTACTGCCCGCCCCTTTCTCGTTTGATCCTGTCCTGACTTGACGGCTGTTTTGTCCCTCCCAGCAGTGACAGTACCAATGAGTACATGGATATGAAACCTGGAGTTTCTTACGTCGTCCCAACCAAGACAGACAAGAGAAGATCTGCAAGAATAGGTGAGTCCCTGTCAAGCCATGAAAACAGCCTCACCTGGGACCAGCAGATAGCATAAAGGTTATGACACTGGACTCTTACGTAGTCGATTGCAGTTGGAGTCCCGGACCCTGTGGCTTAGAATTCAGGCTCTGTGTGTGTGTGTGTGTATGCATGCATGCATGCATGCATGCGTGTGTATGTGTGTATGCATGCATGCATGCCCAGAATCCCGAGAGGTGAGTGGAGGACAAGGGATTACAGCATGGCCATCTCCCCTGGGGGGTGATTTCTCGCTTTCTCTCTCTCTTTCTGTCTCTCCAGTGAGCACATGTACCCTATAGCAAAAATATTCTCACAAAACAAAACCAAAAAAAAAACCCCAAACACCTTACAGAGGATGTATTATATCAATACAGTGTGGAGCATAGCATCATTCCCAGTGATGGCCAGTTCTCCTTTACAGCAGGGGCCGATGGCATCACAGTGGTCAGTTGGCAGTGAGTTGCAAGTCGGCACTTGGAGTCTGTGTGTTTTTAATCTCTGAGTATCTTAAACCATGTGTGTGTGTGCGTGCGTGCATGTGTGTGTGTGTGTGTGTGCGTGCGTGTGCATGTATTTCGTATTACTCTCCCATCCCTCTCCCTAAACATCTTGTTACCCAACTGCAGATTGTTGAATGCCAACTGTGTGATTCAGCGACCACCTCGCCTTGACACCTGGGGAGATGATCTCCTTCAAGTTTCCAGTATCTATTAGCATCCGTGGTAGGACGTTGTCCTAAAGGTGCCATTTGCTAAGAAAACCCCTGTCTCCCTCACAGGCTCATACATAGAGAGAGATGTGACTCCTGCCATCATGGAGGATGACGAGCTGGCCCTCGAGCTGGAAGACTTGCTGAGCTTTTCTTACCAGGTGGCAAAGGGCATGGCTTTCCTCGCCTCGAAGAATGTAAGTGACAGTGATTCTTGGAAGAGGCAGAGGGTTTTTTTTGTTTTTTTTTTTGTGAAGAACAGAGAACGCTAGAGCCATAGTTAGAATGCAGAGTGTCATTTTGAAGTGTGGTAACCGAAAAGCAGAGGGAATTTAGTTTCTTCGTGTTCCAACTGCTCTCTCTTTGGAATTCCTATTCTAACGCACGAGCTTTAAAGTGCAAGTCTGTCTGAATGAGCTTTCCATGTGTATTCTTTTCTGTACAGTGAGTGCATTTAAAACTTCTGGCTTTTAGGATATAGGCTGTGCTTCTAGAAAATAGAGGATTATTTTATCAGCAAAAGCAAAGGGTACCATATAGTTTCTGTGCTTGATGACGTGTATCTTTGGATTGTACTGAAGCTAGGCCCCAAACGTTGGGTTGTCAGGAAAGTCCTGATGCATTTTTGCATAGAAAAGCACAGAAAAATGCATCATGATTTTCCAGACAGCCCAGTATTATGTGAGTGGCTTAGACAGTGGCCGGAAGTAAAGGGCCAGCGAGAAGAATAAGCACTTGGAGAGCGACGGGTTGGGAAGAGAATGATGGGGCCAAAATAAAGAGCATGGTCTCTGGGAGGGTGAGAGGATTCCCTGGGAAAGGGACAAACCGCACAGAGTCAGGTTATAGATCCTATCTTCCAGCACCCTCGGCGACATTTCAGACTAAAACGGCTGAAATAAAGACCACCTCGGGACCAGCAGTTAGCATAATGACTAAGTCACTGGATTCCCACTTAGTCAACTGCGGTTTGCGTCCCAGACCCAGTGGCTTAAAACTCACGCCAGGCGCATGTGCGTGCGTACCCAACATCCCAAGAGGAGAATGGAGGAGAAGGGATTGCGGCATGGCCATCCCCCCTGGGGGTGATTTCTCGCTTTCTGTCTCTCTGTCTGTCTGGCGAGCACATGCGCCCTATAGTGAAAACCTCTCCAAAAAAAAAAAAAAAAGAGGACCACCTCGTGTCCTTGGGAGATGTCAGATTGAAGCTGTAGAGAGACATTTTTGGAAGGACATTCGAAGAGATGCATGCAAAATGAATTTTCAGTTTAAAAAATATGACTATTTATAATGTTATTTTCCTATGAACGAAGCAGTCCTGAGGAGAAAAAGCATTTATTAGAATGGGTTTTGAGACTGATTATAGTAATTAGGGCCTTGAGAATGTGAAACATGAAATGTGAACATCATTCAAGGCGTAATTTTAATTTTTTTTTCCATTTGGTGCACTGACTATTTTCAATGTAAAACAAAAGTATTAAAGTTTTGTAATATAAGCAGCACTCTAGTATTAAAAATAGTTTTCTCTTTTTGAAAGTTAAAATGAATTTAAATGGTGTTCTTTCTTTTTTTTCCTCGCCCATCCGAATAGTGCATTCACAGAGACTTGGCAGCCAGAAATATCCTTCTAACTCACGGTCGAATCACAAAGATTTGTGATTTCGGTCTAGCCAGAGACATCAAGAATGATTCTAATTATGTGGTTAAAGGAAACGTGAGTACCCATTCTCCGCTTGACAGTCTCGCGACAGAATTTTACATTTTGTGTTTTCACAGAAACTGTTTTCTGTGATTTTCATAATGCAAATCCCACCTTGAGATACCATACATTTGAGCAGTCAAATTAAGTGTACTTTAGCAAAATTTGCATGGTATGCTGAATAGTCCTACAACTAATATTCGATAATAGAATTCCTAATTCTAATTGTGTAATTATGGGGCATGGGAAGGAAACAGAAATAGCCTTAATTTTCATTACTGCCTGAGAATAGCAATGCACTTGATTTTGCTCAAGTGTAGCAAATGTAGACCTGCAGGTTACAGCAGGAGCAATTTTTTTTTTCAGATTGACGTGTTCTGTGCAAAGATTAAAATCTAAGATGGTGCTCTGTGTTAGCTGTATCAAATATTGGATCTGATCATCAATAGAGAGCTGTTAAATCGGTCCATAAGGAATCATTGGTTTGTAGAACATAGCCAGTTCTTTCCCAAGTGTTTTATGGCCAATTTTCACTGGCCCCTCCTAGGAAACCCATGCCCTAGAACACAGTTTGTTTCCATTTGAAAAGTTGGAGAAACTCAGGTGCAGCCTATTTTAGTGATGATCGGAAATGACATAGGCCATAGAATGAGAGGCTAGTGCCCATGATTTCCAGAACAGATCTAGATAGATAATGATAGATAGATTGATAGGTTGATAGATAGGTTGATAGATTGATAGATTTGTCTTTATATCTCTATATTTTCTTCTTTGCGTAGGGCCATTTTTACAGTTCACATTCACTCCTGGCAAGATTTTTGTGTCCTTTATTATTATGTAAGATAGTATTTTCTGTTTCCTCCTTCAGTAGACTATACCTGACTTAGTTGTGTGAAAGTGTTCCTGGGTTTCTCATCTGACCAAAGCATGCATTTCTGAAAAGACTTCCTTGAGACTAGATACCATGATCAAGAATGTTATAAATTATAAACAGATCCCAACCTGTTGGGACCAGCAGTTAATGTAATGGCTATGTTGCTGAACTCCCATGTAGTCACCATGGTTCGAGTCCCGGACCCGGTGGCTTAAACTCTTGCTAGCACGTGTGCGTGCATGCCCAAGATACCAAGAGGAGAATGGAGGAGAAGGGATTGTCCTATGGCCATCCCCACTGGGGGTGATTATTTCTCGCTTTCTATCTCTCTCTGTCTTTCTGGCAAACGCATGCAAAAAAAAAAAAAGCAACCAACCTGTGGCCATCATTCTGGTGCAATATTAAAAGGACAAATCACCCAGGTCTCTGAATAGTAGCAAAAGCACAAGAGGAAAAAGATGCGGCCTCTCGGCATGGTCTTGCTGAATGAGCATCTGACTCCACTTTTAATGGCTCTGTAAAATGTGGCAAGGGTTGTTCAACACCTCTCAGTCTTGGTTTTTCTCCTCTTGGGAATAATATTGGCACCCACCTCCTAGGAATTGTGAGGATTTAAATGAGTTAGTGCCTGTGAAGTGTTCAGGACAACGCCAAGCGCGTTCTTACTCCTTATAGATGTCTTACTGGGAATCTAAGTCACTATAACAGTGGTTGTGCTTACTCACTTGTTACTGGTTAGTGACTAGTTGGAATTAAAGAGGCTGAGGTAGGCCCCACCAGGCTTCCAGGTTATGGAATCCAGCTCGAATCAGTTGAACTAACACTCAGGGACTTCTCTTGCATCACGCTGATGGGTGAGGAGACGTTACCGATCACGTCGTAAACAAGAACACTTAGCCTGTTACAGGTCCCAAATGTACGTCGCAGTATTTACAATCTTGTTGTGTCTGTTTTTCTGGAAGTTCTTCATTTCACATGAGCTCTTAGTCATTTTTATGCCAGACTCCTTTCAGAGTCTGGTGAAACCTGTAAATCCCTCGTCAGTTACTACGTTTTGTTTGTAATTTTGTCAGAGAGGGTGTACTCTCACCAGAGAGGCAGACAGATAGTGAGAAAGCATCTCCCATGGGGAGAGGTCACACCACAATCTCTTTCTCCTCATCTTTCCCTCTTTTCAAGATTTCGGGCACACACACACACATGCACCTGACATGTTTCAAACCACCAGGTTCAGGACTCGAACCATACAGTTGGCCCTTTGAGATCCAGCTCTCTTAACCACCACGTTACAGACCGGTCCCCAGAACACTCTTTGGAATGCATGAAATAATACTGGGTTGTCGGCAAAGTCATGATGTAGTTTTGCCTAGAAAAATACGGAAAAATATGTCATGACTTTTCCAACAACCCAATATATAGCCTTACTGAGCAAAGCAATTCAATAGAAATATATAATGTAAATTGAAAAGGCAGGTTTGCGATATAAAGAAGCCCATACGTGGCTGTGAAAACTACAGTAGTTTCGAAGTGGTGGTGAATGTGAATGTTACGGTAAGAGGCCTTCACAGTCTGGCAGGATGTGACTGTCTCCGACGACTGTTGGTGGCAAGTCGCAGGCACTGCTAATATTACTGTGGTTTGTCGCCTTCATTTGTGATTTAAGGAACTGCTAAACTTCAGTTAGAAATTAGTGAAACTAAGGCTGTAACGTCTTCCTTCCAAGTTCATGGGCCTTGGAATTCAAGACACCCATAGACCTTAGGGTAAGGGTCCCTGTAGGAGCTTTAGCCCAAAATGTTGGAAAGGGATACTAGAAGCCTTTTTTTTTTTTTTTTAACCTACTAAAATGACTTGAAGATTAAAAAATTTCATCTCCCCAGTTTTCAGTCCTAAATGGCTTAAGAGAAGGATTGATTTAGCTTTTTATGGTAGATTAAGATCCAGGAACCCACAGTGTCTCTGAGAGGGGTAGTCGTGGGAAGTTTGGCTTAAGTGGGAAGAATTTGGGCTGAGAAGTTCCACTGCTGGATTTAAGGCCCGAACCTGCCACTCACCACCTCGGGACAGTCGTAATCCCACCAAGCCACTCCCATTTCCTTGCTTCTGGGCATGGTGATTTTTCAGACATTAGTGGGTCAGGCAGTGCGAAGCATTTTTACACATTATCTCATTTATCCCCTAAAAGAACTCATGAAATTGGATGTACAGTTATTTTTCACTCAAGAGACCGAGCCCTAAGTACGGAGATGTAAGTGGCCTTCCCAATGAGTGAAGGACAGTTTCGGTCACCTGTGAAAGAAAACCCCAAATAACAGTCAAAGAAGTCTACAGTCACAGGTCAGAGTTGGGACAAGGTTCCACCAGGTCCTTGGGGCCAACCTTCTGCCCTTTCATGTTTTGCCATTCCTGGCTGTAGCCCTATCTTCATGGTCCAAGAAGATCACCCCACAGGTGACACCTGTCACCTCCAGAAGGCAGATGGAGGAGGGGACACACTGAAGAGAGCCAGGGCACACGCCAGATGCTTAAAAAAGGAGGTTTTCCACTTAAAACTTAGGGACCGAGACCAAGGCCATGGCTGTCCCTAGCTATGAACGAGCTCGTGTCCTAATTGTGAGAGGGTCCATTTCTGTTACTACGGAAGAGTATGCAGATACCACTGGCAAATGCTTCGAGGCTAGCGGCACAACCGGGATTAGAACCCATGCCTGTGTCTCTCCGACTTCTGTGTGCTTACTCATTATGCTGTAGACTCGATGTCTCCTTCTTTAAAATGGGGATGACATAATTGTGAGCTGCTTATTTCAGACGTGGTTGGGGTCCTCTTTGGTCACACAGGTAAAAGTCTTAGCGAGAGGATACTCACACCCCTCACCCCTGCCTCTCAGCAGGAGCCTCACCTGTGGGAATATTTGCAGGTTGTTTGGAGCTTCCTGCTTAACGCTGATGCCTCTGTTGTGCTTCCGTTAAAGGCCCGACTCCCTGTGAAGTGGATGGCACCCGAAAGCATTTTCAACTGTGTCTATACGTTTGAAAGCGATGTCTGGTCCTATGGGATTTTTCTGTGGGAGCTCTTCTCTCTAGGTAAAGCGATCCTTGCCAAAGATCCCTTAATTAGACTCTGAGCATCGTCTGGAGGGTTTGGGCCTTGTCCTGCATTCTTGTGATTAACTCTGGCTTACAATCTGTCTTGCTTCAGGAAGCAGCCCCTACCCTGGAATGCCAGTCGATTCCAAGTTCTACAAGATGATCAAGGAAGGCTTCCGGATGCTCAGCCCTGAGCACGCACCTGCTGAAATGTAAGGGCCACTGTGTTTCCTTCAGCGAGCGTTTCCCCTTTGCTTTTCCTTTTTAAAGACAGAAACCTAGATGTTGAGAGTTCTCCTTGGCACGGCATGAAAGGTGACTCGGTTGTCATTTAGTCAGTCACTCTGGTCAAACGTCACTTCTGGAGTTGATCATTTCTCGTCACCAAATACACACGTTTCGGCCATATGTCACGCACACAGGGTCGGATTATATGTTAATGGCATTGCATGGGTCTCGCTGCGTAGCCCTGAAGTGATTAGTGAATTCCTCCATGATGTACCCCTGAAGACAGGTTAGGGCCATTGACAAGTAACAGGAAACGGCCCTTGTTTGGCAGGTATGACATCATGAAGACTTGCTGGGATGCCGATCCCCTGAAGAGGCCAACATTCAAGCAGATCGTTCAGCTCATAGAGAAGATTTCAGACAGCGCCAACCCTGTGAGTACACCCTGGCACTTCCAGCTGCCGTCCTTCTCAGGCGTCAGCAGTGAGAACTCACCTCCCCAACCCCCTCTCCGTCCTGGGTTGTAAACTAGGCGCTTCAGGTCAGGGGAGGGAAGCGATGGGAACCAGGTCTTTCTACACACTCCTCCTGTCCTGAGCCAGAAGAAGGATGTGAGATGAGAGGGAAGGACTTTGAACTCCGAAGCGCGGAAGCGGAAGTTTCCATGAGGATCTGCTGTGTGTCCTCTCCCACCCCCGTGCTGGTCATGGGATCCGAATCTTCTCCTCTCACATGGCAGGGCCGTTCATCCTTGGGAAAGTTGGAGGGATGCGAATGAAAATTAGAGCATAGAGGAGACAGCTTGTTACTCGAGTGAAATCAGCCTTCTGATCAAACGAGCACAGCCGGAGAACGGCAGATCGGTGGCACGCCCACGAGCCATGGAGAACGAAGGGTTGTTTGAAGTCAGGAGATTCCTGGGAGGGGAAAATGAAAACTCAAATCCATTATTTCCTCTCCTACTTTTAAGGAAGAATTAGTGGTCCTTGCTTTGATTCAGATTTTTTTTTAAGCTGCCTTGTTTTTTCAGTTGCTCTTCTGGCTGTCCAAACATGTTTCCAATTAAACAGCCAAATTTCCCCCCAAGTTGTCTTGGTTCTTGAAGCTACTGGAAGGACCATGCGTTTCTCAGTTAATTCTGTAGGCTGTCGGGTTATGGCTAGCTATAGAGATGTGGAAACTTTCCTTTTTTTCTTTTTTTCCCATCTAATGAAAAGCCATAACTTTTTATTAATTATTAATGATAGAATCGGTACGCATCTCAAACCAGGCTGCAGTGTTCTTTCGCAACACCAAAGCAAAGGTCCTCCCTTTCAGGAGGCTACCACGCTCATTCCAGGGCAGCATTCACGTGTCGTTACTGCTGCTCCTCAGGGCTCGTTGGCTTGTGATGTGGCCAATTCTACGTCCTTACCTTCCACACCTTTTTCATCAACCTCTTCCTCTTCCCTCTCTAGAGGCTAGGCAGTGCTCATTCCCAGATGAGTTCCATCAGAAGGGCTGGGATTGTGATTGCACATGCGTTGCCACCACTTCTTTTTTTGTTTAAAGAATTATTTTATTTAACTTTATTTATTTTAATTTGACCAGAGAGGGACAGAGTGAGAGAGAGAATTAGAGACTAAGCCGCCAGGTCTGGGACGCAAACCATGGCGGACCACGGGGGATTCCAGCGCCCTTAACCACCACACCACCTGCTGCCCCGCCACCACTTCTTATGTAAAGTGATTTTCTTGGGGAAATCGAGGGATTAAACAAAACTCCTATTTGTTTTGTCGATATGATTTGGGCATCAACCACGTAATTCTTATAATTCACCTCAAATCTGTGTCGCGGAGGGTGCTCTAAGGAGACGGCACCAGAAGGGTGTATTGGGTTGTCAGAAAAGTCACGACTTAGTTTTTCTATGCAAAAATACGTCAGGACTTTCCCAACAACCCAAAATGTCGATATATATGAAGGGGTTTATTGGGAGCAGCGACTCACGGGATTTTGGTGACTAAGAAGTCTCACCAAAGCCTATCGGCAAGTTGGAGACACCAGGAATCTGCCAGTGTGGCCCCGTTCAGTTTGAAGGCCTTGGAGGCAGAGATGCTGAGGGCTAACCCGCAGCCTGAGAGCCCTGGGCCATCGGCTTAAGTCCTGGGGTCAGAGGCAGGGTAGGAACCTGTGCTGCTTCCGCTCCGGGAGAACGGTCCGAGCTCTGTCTTTGTCCTCTGCGGGCCCCTTGTAGATGACACCAGGCCTGCCATCTGGTCGCTGGAAACACCCCCACACACATACCCATCCATGCTCTGCGCCTCTGAAACTGCACTGTGCCCTCGTGGCTGCTCCCCTTGAGGACTGGCGTGCTGACTGTGGCCTTGTTCTCCTCAGATTTACTCCAACTTAGCCAACTGCAGCCCCACCCAGGAGCCCCGGGTGGTGGACCATTCGGTGCGGATCAACTCTGTGGGCAGCAGCGCATCCTCTACCCAGCCTCTGCTCGTGCGTGAAGACGTCTGAGCCCAAGGAGTGGATGGGGTCTTCCCTGCAGGGAGGGTCCCCATTCTTTCGGCTTCCATGTTGGTTATTTTGTTTTTCTTTCACTTACATCCTACTCCAGGGCAGTGGGCAGTCCACTATAACCCTGTCTTTATGAGCACACTTTAGTGGCTGATGATTTGAGTCATCCGTCACCACCCCTCGCAAAGGTTCGAACTGTATATATTCCTAATAGCAAAGTAGCCTCTATTATAAACAGAAAAAAATTCTGGTGGGAAAAGAGAGGGTGAGATGGGCGAGACACCCAGAGTTCTCACTAAGGCTTCTCCAGTTCTGTTTGTATGGTCAATAGTTTCTTTGGGTAGTACTCACATTGGGCCCACAGAGCCATCCATAGCGACACCATGAGGCAGCAAGATTAGAAGCTGAAACCTAAGCCTTTCTTGTGGAAAGTAGAACATTATTAGGACAAAGGACAGATGTAGGAACATTCGGGCTTGAGAAATCTAATATTTCATGCTGGGAATGAGAGCAGGCCATGCAAAAATGTTCCTGTAGCGAGGAAAAGGACACGGCCGTCACACGCGTCTTCGTGCCACTGACCTGGTTTCAGTATGAGTCTGCTGTTAGGAAGTCTGCGTGGAGAGAAGACCTCCCCAGCCAACCTTTGTACGTACTCCTCTGTAAACTGCACACGTTCCTACATTTGAAGGGCGTAGACCCACAAGGCTTGGTTTCCACATACAACCCAGGTGTCCTGTCTGCTATGTGTAGGAATAGATGAAGAGCCATACAAGCTTGAAGGAAACAGTTAATACGTTTTTTTCTTTAGGAAAAAAATGTAACTGCCAAGCACCGTCTTCACAAAATCTCCTCTTTTATAGCCAATGAACTTGCGCGGCAGGTTCTCCAGAACAAGCCTCCCAGCTTCAGAATGGCACTGTCCTCCGTCGGTTTGGTGCCACTCGGAACCGTTCCTGACTTACTGCATGACTCCCGCAGGAACGAGAAAGCAGTGCTATCTTCGTGTGGATTCTTAGGTAGCAGGAGATAAAATCGAGATGCAGCCTCCTTTACAGGCATACCCTGGACCTCGGGCCAGTATCTGTATATGTGTGTATGTGCGTATGCGTGTAGACAAATATCCTTGGGGCCGTATTCATGCCCTGAGTTCAAGAGGCTTTTTCAGTCCCCAGGAAGTAACTTGGCATCCCCCATCAGCACCGCTGCTGCTTCTCCTCATGGAGCAGTCTAGAGTAGCTTCCCAAAAGCTTGCAGTGAGGGGCTTGGGAGGCCAAGTGCTTAAGGACTATTTATTTGCAGTTCATCTGCTCTTAGGGCACTCTGTTATTTATACTCAGCATACTGTACCTGTTCCTCAGACCCTGTACAATGCTACTGTCCCCCGCCGAAATGTACCTAAATCCTGCCCTCAGGCTGTAGCCTAGGTAGTACCCTATGGTTCACCTCCCGTTTCCCTCCTTCCTTTCCATTGTAAGAGGTAAAGGTGTCCTTGGCAAGGTTCATGTATTGTCTTGCAAGATTCCGGTAGGTTGCCTTCTGTTTCCCCTCCCATGTCCCTTAGCTGACATTTAGAGAGCTGTGGCCATTGACCTGGATGGGACTATTTGCACTAGAGTTCTACGCTCTGGCACCTTCCCAGAGTTAGCAGGTTTGGGGGTTGTGTTGTCGTGTAAGAGATTGTCACTGCTTGCCATACTTTGTCTAAAAAATGCCTTTGCGTTTCTTTTGACTTTAATTATGGTAAGAAAAGTGATCGTTCATTGTAAATGTCTAGGTACTTCAGGGGCCCTTCATTGAGAGTTTGTCTAGGATATTCTTGAAAGTTTATATTTTTATAATTTTTTTTTTTTTTACATCAGATGTTTCTTTGCAGTGGCTTAATGTTTGAAATTATTTGGTGGCTTTTTTTGTAAATATTGAAATGTAGCAATAATGTCTTTGGAATATTCCCAAGCCCATGAGTCCTTGAAAATATTTTTTATATATACAGTAACTTTATGTGTAAATATGTAAGCGGTGCAAGTTTAAAGGATGTCGCTGTTTCATGTGGTTTTTTTTTCCTATGTTGTCCAAATGTTGACAGTTCTGAAGAATTCTAATAAAACTGTAAATATATAAGTCAAATGAGTTTTTTATTGTTTTAAGTGTAGTACAGTGAAACTTTAAAGTGTTCAGGTGCATTCACTCGGACATTAGAAAGTTTTGGGCTCAGTTTGCATAAAACATACGCAGGACTGTTGGATCGCATGAGGGCTTATATTCCTGAAGTTTAAACAGACAGACATAAAGAATTTGAGTATGTGTACATCTTCTCACAACCTGAGACCTCTATTTAAATTGAAAAATTAATAAAACATTTTGAGAATTTTACACATTGCTTTGATTATTAGGTGGATTCATATAAAATGACTTTTTTTTATTACGAAATAATACTCAATAGCAGCATTTTCATATGGTTCGGTGCAATATAACTGGTATGTTTGCCTGAAAAAGAGGTACTGTAAGAGGTACCATGGGGACAAGCAGGTGGCATGGTGGTCGAGGCACTGGACTCCTCACATAGTCAACTGCCTGGCGGCTTCCTTTCTCATGTCTCTCTCTCTGATGAGCACATGTGCCCTATAGCAAATTAAAACATAATAATTCTTTAAGAAAAAAAGCTATTGTGGAAATTAACATGAGCAGTGAAATAGTTCACCAGATTGACATCAGGAATCCCACAAAGTGGCTTGCAATCTTGTTGGCTTGTGTGTGGAAGGGAAATTGTTTCATCTTTGATATATTCATGCTCCACCCTCACTCCTTACTTTTTTTTTAATTATGTAATTCCATTGATCATTATTATTATTATTGCTTCAATTTGCTGTAGGACAGGTGCCCTCACCAGAGACAAACAGAGAGGGAAAGTGAGAAATCAAGCTGCCAGGTCTGGGACTCGAACCATGGTCAGCCATGTGGGAGTGGTCAGCACCCTTACCACCACGCCACCTGCTTGCTTCTGCAACAAAGTCCCACCTCTCAGTGGGAGGGAGATGCCTAGAGCATCCACCAGACCACTGGAGCCTGCACAGAAGCGAAGAACCCTTCAAGCTGGACACAGAGATCCACGCAGAACCACGTCATGGTATTGAGAATGAGTTTGGCAGCTGGACATCATTGGTCTTGACATCTTTTATTGACATGACATTTACACCTGCAGAAGTGTCTCCTGAAAGGAAAATGGGGCTGGGGAGGAAGAAAGGTGGCCTATATTGAAGAATTCTAAAATCCTAAGAGGGTCATGTGGCCAGGAATGCGTCAATCATCAGTGAGAAACATTTCAGCCAGGCAGTTGCCATTATTTTATTACAGGCAGCCATGAATGCTAATTGACCACCAAACAAAGAAGGCCTTTCTTTCCGAATGTTTCCACTGTCATTTAACCTTTTCTCAGTGTGTACGATCTTGACTTCGAAGCAGTGGGTGGGCCCCCCTGTGTTATTAGTCTGTAGCTATTTCTCTCACTGGCCCAGTTTGAAATAGCAAAATAGTAATGAGGGGCTCGGTGTCCAGGCTCAAGCTGGGTTCAAATCCTGGTGCCAGCCCTGTCTCTCCCACCGACTGCTGTGTGATATTTGACAGATGTGCATTTGAAATCACAGTTCCATGACGCGTAGTATCTGCCGTGATGTATTACGAAGGGGTTAGGACAACCAGATTCACATGCTAATACACTAATAGTGCTCAAAACTGCGGACTTTAGTCATGTGTTTTTTGTTTTTTTTTTTTTTTAGAGGTTTTGCTATAGGGCACATGCACTCACCAGAAAGAGAGACAGAGACAGAAAGTGAGAAATCACCCCCTGGGGGGGATGGCCACATTGCAATCCCTTCTCCATTCTCCTCTCGGGATCTTGGGCACGCACGTACACGCGCCAGGCATGAGTTCAAGCCACTAGGTTCAGGACTCACACAGTGGTTGGCTACATGGGAGTCCAGCGACATAGCCATTGCGCCAACTGCTGGTCCGAGTCATGGCTCTTAAGTAGGAAGCCTTGTTAAGTAGGAAGGAGGAAGATGCTTCTATACTGGTATAACCCAAAAGGACCTACACAGTCAATAATTCGTTTCTAGTTGTCCTTCTGTTAACTGCCAGCAGTGTCATACGTGTGGCCCATGACACTTGACTTTGTGGTAGAGATGTCTGTGTTTTATTAAAATTCCAGAGGTTCAGCTAGGAACTCAAGGCTCTCTGTTCTTACCCCAGCCATTCTTCCCAGGCTGTCCTCTGATGACCACAGACTGATGCATATGCCTCACATTCTCTGCTCCTATTCTCAAACTGTATATGGTCTCTTCTCTCCAACAAGCCCCCATCTCTCAACACTAGAGACATCACCAGTTGTCAGTTGCTTCTGTATTCTCACCGTACCCCCTACTTGTGGGTCTGATGGTTGAGTTCTGTGTACTGTAATTGCTTTGGGTCTTGTCTTAACTCTTGCCCATCCCCACCATATCCAGATGTAAGAGCAGTTGACATAAAATATGTGTGTTAGCTTCAGTGATCAAGACACTTGGGTGATCCGCTTGAGATCGCAAGAGTTATTCAATAGTTAAGACTTGCCCAAGTTCACTTAACAGTGGATCCAGAATTTGAATCCAGATTTGAGGCTTTGACCTTCAGTGGTGCTAAATACCTGGTCTTCCCATGCCGGCACTTCTCATTGCCCTGCCTATGTAGACTTTACTAATCTATTGGGTTGTCAAAAAAGTCATGATGGATAAGAAAAAAATAAATAAATACCTTCAGTGGTGCTAAATACCTGGTCTTCCCATGCCGTCACTTCTCATGCCCCTGCCTATGTAGACTTTACTAATCTATTGGGTTGTCAAAAAAGTCATGATGCATCTTTGGATAAGAAAAAAAAAATAAATAAATAAAACCAGGAAAACACGTCTTGACTTTTTCAGTGACTCAATATACTACTTCACTCTCATTGAGCCAAGATGCTTTGGAAGTCTTAGCCTTCTGAAGCTCATACCAATCAACTGGATTTTGCCTAAGGAGAGACTTAGCTGTCATCCTTAAATGATGACCAGATTTCTATGTTCCTGAAGGACAGGCGAGTGTTTTCTAAGTCAGACGCTAACGCAGTGCTTTATGAGTTGTTGAAACTGCTTAAACAAATACGCATATCCTAGCAGCATTGGGAGTGATGGAGAGACATCTGGGAGGAAACGGGGTCTGGAAAGACAGGAAGTACAAGACAAAACTTGTACCCAGAGTGGGACCTGGACAGGTGTGGGAGGCTGTGCACCAGCAAGTCTGCCGAGGTTTCTCAGAGAGCAAACAATTGCCATGATTGGTAACCTTCAAAAAACCTGACCTTCGAAACCTTGCTCTGATTGGCCACTAGAATCCCTCAGATTTGCATATCTGGTACCTCATGATTGGTCCACAAAGCAACCAATCATAACCTACCTTTTGCTATCCTTCATTCAACCAATCACAGCCCACCAATGTGTATATAAGCACGATCTCTGGCCCATAATCGACGACGACCAGGGAGACGACGACGACCAGGAAGATGACGACTGAAGAGCCCAAAGAGCTGAAACACCGCGCAGTCTCCAGACGACCTGGGAGACCCTGAAGAGTTGTAACACTACATCGTCTCCGGACGACCCTGAAGAGCTGTGACACTGCATTGTCTCTGTGCTGCTCACAGTAGACGACGCGACCCTTAAGAGTTGTAACACTGCGTCGTCTCCGTGCTGTACCGTGCTGCCCACAATAAACGGACGACACTGAAGACACATTGTCGTCTCCGTGCTGTTACACTACACCGCTTGTCCTGGCTCTCACTCCTTCACTCAGGAAACCTGTTCAGCTGTCCCCCCGGGTCGGGACAGACAGGTAACTACATTCACATGAGGGGTGGGTCCTGGGAAGAAGGGAAAGTGGGAACTAGGAAAGTTCCTTCTGGGTAGCCTTGCTGAGGCCTACACAGCTGCTTTGTGAGAACAAGGAGAAAACCTGAAAGCAAAAAGGAGAGCTTGAGTTGATGGAGAAGGGTGGAGAGGAAGGGAAAGTGGCAGAAGTTTTTTTCTTATCCAGAAGTGGGGAGAGGAATTGAAGCAGCCAAAAGGTCCCTGAACTTGCAGAAGCTGCAAACGGGGAAATCTCACCACCTCAGACCTGGCCTTGGAAGAATGCGTTCCGTGCTTCTTCTTTCCAGCTTCTGGTGGGTTGTTGGCAATCTTAAGCATTTCTTAGCTTGTAGATCTCTGCCTTCCTCTTCATGTGGCTTCTCCCTGTGCATGAGTGTGTGTGTGTCCAACTTCCTGCTTCCCATGACCTCAGTCTTGTTGGAGTAGGGGTCCACCCTACACCAGTACGATTTCATCTTAACTAATTAATGATATTTGCAAAGACCTTACTTCCAAACAACGTTCACACCCTGAAGTACAGAGGGTTACAGTTAAGACTGCAGCATAGGAATTTGGAAGGGACACCATTCAACCTCTCACCAAAAGCCCTCAAAAAACCTCTGTATGATAGCAGGTGACCTGGTCCTCACTAGAAGGCTGAAAGTGACTCTAAAAGCTCTCAGATGGTCTCCAGATCTTCAGAGCATCCTTTTAGATTTTCCGTTATCTAAAAAAGTATCTTGAACAGTACCTGGTACGCAGCAGACACTGAATGGTCGTTGAACAGATGAAGCTTTATGCAATGAGGACCCCCCCCCTCCTCAAAGCTCGCCTCCTTGCCTACCATCGCTGCACCTCCTTCCCCCTGTATTCCTTCCAAGGTTGGAGTCCCAGGGTTTGATCCTTCATCATCGTCCCCATCTAGCATGCTCTCTCCCAGCTCTGGTTGATCCCATCTAATCTCTGGGAAATGATTGTCACCTCTAAGTGGCAATTTCCAACTCTGACTCCTAATCTCTCCCTGCATATAGATTAGGAGTGCCAGATAAGAGGATGCCAGTTAAATGTGAATGCCAGATAAACCACACCTAACATTTAACATATGACTTGTGCAACATTTAGGAGTCATAGCTATGAAAAATGGATGACCTGAAATGCAAAATTTAACTTGGTGCCTTTTGCAGAATCTGGCTGGCTAAATTTGGTAAC